TTTTTTTTTGCTAGTGTCCTAGGAGATTAGATGTTTTTTCCTCTGCTGAGAAAAACTCTTAACTATTTTTTTTTTGCTGGAGTTATTTTGTAACTTTAAAAAAAAAAAAAAATGCTGCTTGAGATCGCTACACTGCAGTTATATAGACTGGCATATCCTCAGCAACAGCTTTGCAGCCTATAGCCCTGCATTGCTAGACTGAAAAATTGTGCGGTTAGCCTGGAATGTGACTTTTGGGCATTGGACTCTGCATTAAGGGGGCTTTCTAAATCTCTGTGTACTGTCAAGCGCAGAGCTCTCTCCAGGCCCAGGGTTGTGGCACAGCCTCTGGTGTGACCTGGTCTTTGAAGACCCATGCAGTAAGTCGTGATGAGGCTAACTTGAAATGTGACCCCACAGATCACTCTCCAGGTCCAGAGCCATGTCATAACCTCTAGGGTGTCACAGTCTGAGGACTCAAATATTGAAGAAGGCGGGCCAGGCTGAAACATTGGGCAGCTACTTCACAGTTAGTGCCATTTCCTAAAAGATTTCTGCCACCTCCATCTTACAGAAGTAGCTGTTAAGGCTGAGGGAACAGAGCACATATACAGTATATTAGGTGGAGTATTGTGTGCGCACACGCTCTGCGCTCGCTCCTGCTGTCCAGCTTGGGGGAAGCAACTTCGGCTGCTGTTACTGCTTTTTAGCACTTTCTGCATCACCCCTTTCTCACTCCACTGTCTGCCATCTAGTACCTTCTTCATCAACTATTTTTGTTTTAGAGTATGTGAGGCCTTGCCTCAGTTTCTGCCTTGTATTACTATAAGATCGTCCTCATTGGGGACTTCTATAGTTCCGCAGTGTGAAGCCGAGACCTCCCATATGTCCACAAAACATTTAAAAATCCATTTCAGAATTTTCTTTATTGGTTTGTGAACAATTAATGCTCATCTGCTTCTAGGGGTTCTAAAGCACACTTCAGTGCTATCAACAAGTGTGCCTGAGTTCCCTATTACTATCTCCGATTTAGTGTCGGAGTCCTCCCAGCCTTTCCCTGAAAAGCCTGTATTTCACCCAGTGCCATAGGAGGTCTTGCTAATCTGTTTGATGCAGAGCTTTCTATGTTGAGCCTGGAGGATCAGGAGCTTTTTCCCTTCCAAACTGAATTTATTAATAAGTGGTCCCTGCCCACTGTAAATGCTCCGGTCGCCCCTCTTAACGATTGATGATGTTCTTACCTTTTAGGGATTTACCTGTCAGTTGGATTCCCTAACCTCCAAGGTTTTAGAGCAAATGTCTGCAGTTTAGCTGTGATGGTCTTTTCCAAACATCTAGCATGCGTTTGGCACTTTAGTTTCATGTCTGGCACACCAAGGATACACTTAATTAACATTTGATGTACTTGCATATTAAGGGTAGGCATCTTCTTGGTTTTACCCTTGACACTGTTATACCTGATGCTTCTGGCACCCTTTGTGGAGTGCTCAGGAGACCTTCATTATAAACAGTCTGTACTAGTCTATCTCTCTCTGTGCTTAAACCAAGGTTGATATCATCTACACTGATTGCGTATAGTAGATCCTTTCCAATTTATAGGTATTGTGGAACTCCATTTTACATATTCCCTTCTTGTGCTAATCCTCAGTACTTTTGGCTTCTCCAGAGAATCTGGAATTTGGGTAACACACAAAACTGGTCTTTGGAACAAGTCCTGTTAACCATTGCCAGATTCTCGTCCGAGTGGGAATGATCCATTTATCCTCTTCTCATATCCTTGGATGATTCTCCTAATGGATATGTCCACTTACCTACTCTTTGAGTCTGGTTCTACGAAAAAGGCAATTTCCCAGTGTTTTAGGGGATCTCTTTTGGTCAATCTGATCTCTGCTGGGCTTTATCTTGAGGCTACAAGTTCTCTACTTCTGGAAAAATGGAGAAGTCCCCCTGTAACTGGCATTTGTGTCGCCACTGTTTCCTTCTTACACTGAAAGTATTACTTTTGGATCCTTTTATTGTTCCTCACTTTGTATAGTGAGAGTTCTGCACACAAGTTCACCTCTTCCTTCCCAATAAGGATGTCCTGTACTTCCATGGAAGGTCAGAAGCAGAACACTGTTACTCTGCTTCAGAGTTCCCTTTGTGGTGGGGTCAGAGACTTTCGATGGACCTAGTTACTGGAATATAGATCCTCTTCCTTCTGTCAGATTACTTCTATTGGATTACTACCCCTAGCACCTCTGCAGGGTCTTCTACCCATTACAGGGCAAATTTAACAAATTCCTAGAATCCTATATTTAATGTTTTTGATCGGGTAAGTTGTGATATAGGTACCACACCCCTGAAGCTCCTTCACACCTGAGTTGGAAGCACCCCTTTCCATTCTGTTGTCCTTGTATGGCAATTGGCATTACCATTCTTTTGTTTAAGGGTTTTAGAATACTACTTTTGTTTCCAGTGTAAGGATTCTTTCATTCTATCCATTTAGATTGCTGCTAAGAGGGCTGACATATTCATGCATATCGCTTTTTGTGATATTACTTATCTGTCTGATAAAATCCATCATATTGTGGACCTCCTTCTCCATGCAGTTAAAGCGTGACTCCACTTTTCTTGAGAGAAAACAACCACCTCTGGGTGATCAATGTACATTGCAAGGATTTTAATAACTTTGTTGCAGATTCCTACCTGTTTCTGTTTTGAAGAAAAAGCTGTCTGTTTCACCACATCACTTCCATACTTATTCCTGCATGGGAGGGTCTGGTACATTATAACCATCTGGTTCACTCTGTATTCTCAGGAGAAATGTTGCAGTGTCTGCATCCCATTTTACAAGTAGTAAACCCTTAGGGATTATCTAACCATAAATGAATTAACTATTGCAGGGGATGCCTAAAATTATACTTCTATCTAGGTGCAGATATCTGAGAAAATCAGTGAGCCAATCACAGAAGCATGAAATGGCATTTTTGGGGGTATTCTGTACACAAACAGGGTGCACAGAATGCCTTCAGGTTTCCACATTCCTCGTTTTAGATTGAAATGAAAAAGTAATTTTAATGTTATTAAATTACAAAAAGGCTTGTGTAGCAATTTTATATGCTAGATACATTTTACAAAAGTGGAGTTTTTCTCTTTTCTAGTTGTTCAACTTAAGCCTCTGTCTGTCAACTTGTTGTCTAACTTTCCTTATCCCTGAAATCAAAGGTAAGGTTTTCTAGGCTTCGGCCTTTACCCTAGAAAACATTCTTTTTTGTTGACCACCTTAGCTGTCTGTTCTTTTCTTCTGTTCAAGAAGTTTGTTGTTCAACCGGTTTTCTTTATGGTGGATGATTGGTGGATCCACATTATTAACTGAGACCCATTATTCTTTCAGAAAGCAGTTTTCCCTAGTGTCGTGGTCTGATCCTCAGTGCCCTTCCTCAGCCTCAGCAATTCCTATATTTGCTTTGACTCTTCTTCATCTAGCCTGTGTTTGATTTCCTTTACCTACTCTTATTGTAAGATTTCTACATCCATTTGATCTCTCAGTGGCTATAGCCCAGCCCTTAGTTGACTGCTTTTGAATGTCCCAGATGTCTACAAATTACTACATTCCGGTCTGTCCCGTAACAGATGATATAGAAAAAAAGTTTCTCTATGGCCCATTGAGGGACACAGCTCTGACTAACTCTGAGACGTGTATGCTGCTGCCTCTAGGAGAAATGGACACGAGACAAACAAACTAAAAGTCTCTCACTGTAAGGACATAACACCTCCCCTCCGCCTCACACCTGCCAGTGTTGCTTCGTGTCCCCAGGAGAATGGATACCTCCTTCTCTCCTGCTTTATTATTTTTAGTTTATTTTAAACCTCTCTGAGAAATGTCTTTGTTATCCAAAAAGGTTGCTTTTCAAGTGGCCCTTACCTCGCCTATAATGGTTTCTGAGCTGTCTGCTTTGTCTTGTAGAGAACCCTATTTGGTTCTTCATGGGAAGGTTTCCCTTTTACCCAAGGTAGTCTCAGCTTTTCATTTAAATGTAGACATAGTTACCTTACCTTTTTTCAAGCTCCTGTTCTTCCTAAGGAAATTTCTCTTCATCATTTTAGATGTCATATGGTCTGTTAGTGTTCATCTCTCAGCCACAGCTTCCTTTTGACGTTCAGACTATTCATTTGTTCTTCCAGAAAGACCTAGAAAATGTTTTTCAGCTTCTAGATCCACTATTTCTAAGTGGGTTTGTCATACAAGCTTATGCGTTGTGGGATAGGGTACTACTACTTCCTGTTTCTGCTCATTCTACTAGGGCATTTTAGTACTTTCAAAATCAAGCTTCTTTTACTCAAAATTGCAAGGCCATTATCTGGTCTTCAGTTCACACTTTTGCAAAGTCTTATAACGTTAATGTTTCTGCCTGTTCTGATACTAGTTTTGGCAGAAAAGTGTGCTTTAACTAGTGCTTTAGTTGTTGTAGTGCTTTAGCTGTTGTTGTAGTGCCCACCCCTCTGTTTGGACTGCTTTTGAATGTCCTCTACGTCTTAGAATTCTTCAGAGCTGTGTCCTTCAATGGACGATCGAGAAAATAGGATTTTGTTCTTACTGTAAAATCCTTTTCTTGGAGTCCAATGAGGGACACAGCTCCCTTCCCTGAAGCTCCTTTGTACTGCTGGCTGCAACTGAAAGATGTGCGCTTGAAGGGGTTATATCCTTAAAGTGACAGGCTTTTGTTTGCCTGCTGTCAATTTCTTCTAGAGGCAGCAGCATGACCCTGCACCTTGGAATTCGTAAAGTGGACCTTTACCCCTTTCACTAAAAATCACAGCAGCATGATGCTGATTTAAAATAATTTTACATTCATTAGTTAAACTTGTTTTTCATTTACTTACAAATAGAGTTAATCTACTTCCTGGTCCAGTTCTGGCACAAATGATGTAATGTGCTCAAGCGTTGCATTCTGGGAAGGTTACATCAGCAGAGCATTGCTGGGAAATCTCATCTGTATCTCATGAGATCTCAGGGAAAGGCATTTTCCTCCCCTGACATGATCTACATGGTCACGTGTCCTAGTCACATGTGCCAGAGTTCTAGGAAGTAAAGGGAGAGCTAGTAACCTGGCCACTGTCGGAAGACTGGGAAAGAAAAGAGAAATAAGCATTGCAAATAACAAAGCCTGCAATTATCTAGCAATATATGTCTGTAGATTGTCAGTACTATACATTTCTAAAGGTGTGTTGTAATTTTAAAGATATGGGTAAAGTTCTCTAAGAGTTGTGTCCCTCATTTGACTCCGAGAAAAGGATTTTATTGTACGAACAAAATCCTATCTTGTATTTTATTGTAAATAATTTTTGTTGCAGTCAATTGAAGGATGCCCCTCTGTGTTACTTGCTGGATGCAGGGTTATATGGGGGCTGGCATAATGTTTTAATCCCACATTTTATGGTGAATACAAAAATCTCAATTCTGCTGCAGAGCCATTTTAAATGGACATATAGTGTTTGTATATGGTAATTTTGGCACAGATGGGTGAGAGCTACAGAGCTATGTCTCGCCATCTATGGCACAGTACAAATCTCTCATACACCCACCCCCCCACACACACCCCCCTACTTTGGGTAGAATCCAGTTAGTATAAAATTCTGTGAGGACCCCATAATGTCCTGAAGCATGAGAAGTACATGCACACCATGCATATAGTGACTCCGTGACTTTTTTATTTGTAGAAGGAATACTTCAAGCAGTATGAGGTGGGTCTACAGAACCTGTGCAATTCATATCAGAACCGAGCTGACCTCCGTGCTAAAACCAGCGAAGAACTGCAGCGAAACACAGAAAATAAGTTAAAAGAATCTGAAGAGAAACTACAGAGATTAAGAACAAACATTGTGTCACTACTGCAGAAAGTTCAGGAGGTAAGATGCATCCTTTCTGTTAAGTTCCACAATTGCCAGATCTGTCTAGCTTTCTATAATTAAATAAAAACTATTATCCTAAAAAGCTACGTGTGCCCATTTGTAGACTAAAGCAAAATGTCAGCGCAAACCAGAACGCTGCCTGCAGATTCAGAGGAGATCCTTGTGTGTGTGTGTGTGTGTGTGAGATTGTTTAGGTTAAATATTGTTTGATTACTAGTTTTATTCTATAATACCCCAAGATTGTCGTCTGGATATGCCATCATTAGTTTTACATGTTTTTTTATTGAACTTAAAGCCCTAACCCCCAGAACAGGGGTAGCGAGTTAAAATTCAAGGAGGTGTCGTGAGTAAAATTTTCATTGAGTAGAGGTCCATGTCCCGGTTCAGACAGAACGGTCACTCAGTTTGTGTACGTACCACGGTCCTCCATTTAGACTGTATTCACACCAGCAGCTGCACTACAATGCAGAGCTGATGGAGTGGATTCCCAGGCACAGTGCTGATGCTCTGCTCCCAGCAAATCACTTTTTTTCTTTTGTTAGAACTTCCCTTTTTACATACCCTTGCATACCTTATGCGCACGTCTTCATTAAAATCAGATGGCAGGGTTGGTTTAAAAAAAAAAAAGAAATACAATTGTATTTTTATACTTATCAGCTTTTGTTTGTTTTGGGGGTTCCCCCCCCCCCACTGTACAGCTGCCCAGATCACTTGTAGTTTATAAGCTGCACAGCTAGCTCTGCTGGACATCACTGGTTGCTAGGATGCCAGTGGTCCTAGCAACCAATGGCTGAAGTAGAGGGGGGCTGGGTTATGGCCGTCAGTGAATGCATCGGCATCAGAAGCCAGTAGACATGTGCACTGCCAAAAAAATCGTTTCGTTTTAAATTCGGATTTGTGTTATTTCGTTTTTCGGGATTCTGGTGTGAAAGTCAATTCGGATTTGGACGAAATTCGTTAGCGGTAGTTCGGTCGAACGTTCGTTTCGTTCATTTGTTCGTTTGTTTGCAGCAAAGTGACATTTGAGGGGGAAAATGTTTTTCTCCTTTTAATGTCACTTTGCTCCAACGAAACGAATAAGAAACTAACGTTCAACCGAACTACCGCTACCGAATTTCGGAAACGGAAATTCGGATTCGTTTGCATTCGTTATATTTGTAATTCGGAATTCCGATGCATCCGAATTTCCGAAAATTCGTCCGAATTTCGATTCGGAACGAAACTAATCGCACATGTCTAGAAGCCAGTGTATTAGAAGACCTAATAGCAAGAGGGGACTGACATCTGTGGAAGCTAGCTACATTTGTGGAGGGGCAGAAGAATAAGCTACTTTCCCCATCCCCAGTTACATGGGAGTGCCAAAGGGGTCCAGCCCAAATTCCCGGGCAGACGTGTATTATGACGTCACGGTTTTCTTATGTTTTCATGGTTTTTACATACCAGGCATGTGCT